GAATATACAATTCTAAAATATTCACTATTATTTCATCACTTGTCCACGAATTGTTTGGTTGTAATACTACTACCATTTCAAGATTCTCTTCATCATTTAATTGATCATCATTTTTATTATCAATATTGACAGCATTATCCTCACTTTCATCGTCGATACTAGAATTACTTGAGTTACTATTAGTATTGAGTTACTATTAGTAGTTTCTTCATGATCTAAATTGTGTTGTGCCTCCGTGGAAGCACAGCGAATTTTTGGGGATCGTTGGCCAAATTAGAACTAAGGAGTTCGGGATCGTGCAGGGTCGTTCCGCCGTTGTAGTAAATATGTAGTTTGAGTAGAATAAAAATCATTTATTTAGTTACATCGACTTTAACTCTTCTTTTCCTTTGCGCACTTTAACTTGGCTTATCGCGGTATAGAGTTACTTCGCGTGTCTGATATCGCGGTTGCCGTCGCGAGATCAGCTGGGACGTTCTTTATTATTAAATCGTTTACGTTAGTCTGTCTCGTGGTTGCTATTGTTAATTTATTCGCACTACGTAATTGTATGATTATAACTGGTTCGTGTGATTTTGTGATTAGGACTGCCTAGCGCTCGTTCGAGGTGGATAGTTTTATCAACTCCTGTTCGATTAGTTTTTTGGAGGGGATCGCTTAGCGACAGGACCATAGGTGGTCGTATATTCTTTGCTTGCATCTCCGGCGTATCGTTCTTCGAGTCTCGCGAACGCGTGGCCTCCGCGCGTGGCTTGCTTTGTCAGCGATTGCGCTCGTAACTTTATACGTCTTCCTCGGCTTCGAGTTATAGTCGGAAGACGTTAAATAATATTTAATAATTAATAATTATGCTAATTTGGTTATAGCCGTTTTGGGCTATAACAATATCAATACTAGACAATATTTTGCATAGAATTAATTGCTGTTGTTACTTGAACGTGGTCCAACCCCTGAAAACCCGGTTGCCGAGCATATATCATTGGCGTAACGACACTTTAACCTCTCTCAGGTAAGCTACAAGAATATGCAAAAAAAAAGGGAGGTTCCCATTTAAAATTCCACAGTTACCCTCCTCCACCCTAAAGGGGGTGAGGGGGAGGGCTAACTTTTACGGAGTTGAGATCTAATTTGATTACTAATTTCCATGTTCCCTTGACGTAGTATAGCTGTTCAATTTTTTCAAAGTATAAGCCCGGGTTATATTCAAATTCTTGAATTTCATATGATCAGTCCGTTTCATATAACTCCGTGAGACCCTCGGACCGTCGGCTGTTCCAGCTGACGAGCATCCTGTAATATTATATACTTTAGTTTTATTTCTCGCGATGATATCCCGCGAGTGTCATTGTTTCATTGTTGTATCTTTTTTCTGAGATGATTTTTCTGCATGCTTTTCGACGGATTATTTCATTCAGTGTTCAGTCTTCTGTCGACATTCGTACGGTGACATTTTCATTGTCTGTAGCGAATCTTATAATTATTGCTATTTTTAATGGAGTCGTATAATTTTTGCTTTTGGTGTTTGAAGTCTGTGTCCAACCCATCTGACTTAGTATGCAGGGCGTGCAGTGATTTTACTTTGTGCGGCCCTGCTTTGCCGCGCGATCCGTTCGAGCGGGCTTGTGAGGCCGTATATCGAAGTGTGGAGCCCTTTTCGATCCAGATTTCTGTGGATTGTGTGATTGGTCGTCGTACCGTGAGTGAGGTGGTGCCACATCCTTGGCACAGTTTGCCATCATTTTGGACGGCGATGGATATCTGCCGTCTTGCGGATGGAGTTGGGCATTGCTCGCCTTTATGATGGTCGTCGATTCGAGGATCTTCGTTTACCTGCGGTCTTTATTCCTCGAGGTCGTGGGCTACTGGGTCCACTAGTTGGTAGAAGCCACTTCCGGCGGGGAAATTTTCCTGGAGGTCGCGGCTGTGGAGGACGGGATCACGCCTCTGTGGAGGACTTGCGTCGTTTTTTTGAGCGGATGAGGTGTCCCGGTCGTTCCCGCAACGAATAAGGTAAATTTATTTTAATTTTAGATAAATTGCTTCAGCTTATTTGTGTGCATGCGGATTGCTTTTCTCCCCTTTTTTATCGTGTAATTTACGTCTGAATTCTTTTCAATTATCGTGTACGGTCCGATCGTCTCGTCGGTCGGAGTGTCTCGTCGTACACTAATACTTTGCCACCGACTTTAAATTTTATTTCTCTAGTATTTTTATCGTACTGTTGTTTAGCTTTAATTTTTTCTTCTTTAACATGCTCTTTTGCGAGCTGATTTGTTGCCCGTAGTCTTTCTTTTAATTCTTGCGCGTAATCGTCGTAATTATACGTCGGCTTAGGCGGTCTCGTCAGTGCCGTAGGTAGATCGGTTTGGTGTCCGTAGACTAGTTCAATTCGCTTCTTGATTTGGAATCGGTATCGCTTTACTGAATTTCGTTAAATTGTTTTCAAATGTTAATAGATATTTATTTCCGTTGGTCGTTATTGTTAACGGTCCTACGATATCTAACGCGCATTTTTCGAATAGTTTTGTCGGTGTATCCGTGATTATTAACGGTAATTTATTTTTTCGCGATAATTTATTTTTTTTGGCAAAATTCGCATTTGATATGTATTTTTCGCCGTGAGGAAGTAGATTTAGAATTTGTTCTCGTTTGTATAGTGTGTACTTCGGATTCTCGATTGTATTCTACATCTTCGATAACAACATGTGGCATTTGTATCTCGACTTCTGTATCGGTCGTATTCATTATACTAACGGGGCATGCGTGATCTTTAGGTTCTACTAGACAATTTCCGATATAGACTCCTGGGGCTGTTTCTTCTGCTCGTACTACTCCTATCCGATTTTGATTCGTTGTCGCTTTTACGATGGTTTCGCTGCGCGGTTTTAGAATGGTTTTATTAAATGAATGGAATTTGAGCACGGCGTCTCCTATTTTTAGTTGATTTTGTTTGTAGTCGCAGGATACTGAGTGTTGTCGGAGGAAATCAATCCCTAGAATTCCTTCATATTCGATCGGAATGTCGTCTCTTACAACGTAAAATGTATGTTTTATTTTATGTCCATCTACTTTAATTGTAGCGTACATTTTTCCGATGGTGTGTACCTTATGCCCGGTTATGCCTGTGAGCGCGATTTTATCCTCATATATGAGGGTATCTCTCTTTAATTGTTTTAATTTTATTAACGAGATGTTTGATCCTGAATCGCACAACATCCGTAATCTTTCATACTTTGCTTGTCGCATGGGTAGTGTTATTAACAATAAATCCGTTTTCTTCTGTGTGCTCGGCGTATCTTTAATTGTTGATGACGTGCTCCGGTAACTCGGGCTCGTTTTCGCTCGAGTATTGAGTTTCTAAATTTCTTCGCGCGTTATCAAACTTCGTCTACCGCGCCTCGCGGCAGATTTGCGGGAGTACGTTCGTGCGGATTTCGCGAGTCGGCCATATTATTTTCTTGTTGGCGGTAAATTTCTTCCGGGTTAAATAGATCGCTCTCGTAGGAGGTTAGTGAAAATTCGCGTCGTAAAGATACTCTACTTGGAGTTCTGCTAATATACGGAGATCGTTGGTCAAATTAGAACTAAGGAGTTCGGGATCGTGCAGGATCGTTCCGCCGTTGTAGTAAATATATAGTTTGAGTAGAATAAAAATCATTTATTTAGTTACATCGACTTTAACTCTTCTTTTCCTTTGCGCACTTTAACTTGGCTTATCGCGTATAGAGTTACTTCGCGTGCCTGATATCGCGGCTGCCGTCGCGAGATCAGCTGGGACGTTCTTTATTATTAAATCGTTTGCGTTAGTCTGTCTCGTGGTTGCTATTGTTAATTTATTCGCACTACGTAATTGTATGATTATAACTGGTTCGTGTGATTTTGTGATTAGAACTGCCTAGCGCTCGTTCGAGGTGGGTAGTTTTATCACCTTCTGTTCGATTAGTTTTTTGGAGGGGATCGCTTAGCGACAGGACCATAGGTGGTCGTGTCGCTCGATTTTGGGTGGAAAAACCCCGGATGCAAGCTACGTATATTCTTTGCTTGCATTTCCGGCGTATCGTTCTTCGAGTCTCGCGAACGCGTGGCCTCCACGCGTGGCTTGCTTTGTCAACGATTGCGCTCGTAACTTTATACGTCTTCCTCGGCTTCGAGTTATAGTCGGAAGACGTTAAATAATATTTAATAATTAATAATTATGCTAATTTGGTTATAGCCGTTTTGGGCTATAACATCTGGTTAATATACTTGCATCGCCCACATCAAACTCTTCAGCATCATCACTATTAATCACATTGCTGTTATTACTGGAGCTTTCTTCACCACTGCATACATTATTTATTCTTTCATAATCATTATCATAAATATTTTCAGCAATATTATTTTTCCATCTACGTCTTGTCTTTAATGGTATCTATTATAAATATAAAATATTTATTAGGTTTTATTTATTTTTTGTACGGCTTTTTTAGTTAAAAAAACAAGTGTTTCGAATTAAACGCATTTATTT